AGTGGTCATAATTACTATATCAGTTTCGTTGATGCTTATAGTCGCTTTACCTGGCTTTACCTTATTAAACGCAAATCTGATGTGTTTGATATTTTTGTTCAGTTTCAAAAACATGTTGAACGTCTTCTCAAGCACAAAATTGTTCATGTCCAGTCGGACTGGGGGGCGAGTATCGCAACCTCAACTCCTTCTTTCAGTCGCTTGGGATAGCTCATCGTTTAGCATGTCCACATACACATCAGCAGAATGGTTCAGTCGAACGTAAGCATCGTCATATTGTTGAAGCTGGTCTTACTCTTTTGGCCCATGCATCTGTTCCGTTTCGGTTTTGGAGTGATGCTTTCACCACTGCATGCTTTCTCATCAACTGTACTCCTACTCATGTTTTAAACATGAAGACTCCCATTGAGGTTCTCCTTAATGAACAACCTGATTATATCTTTCTCAAGGTATTTGGGTGTGCTTGCTGGCCGCATCTTCGTCCATATAACAAGCGCAAGCTTGAGTTTCGTTCTAAGAAGTGTGTCTTCCTTGGCTATAGCTCTCTTCATAAAGGTTACAAATGTCTTCATGTTCCCACTAATCGTGTCTATATATCTCGGGACGTCGTGTTTGATGAGCATGTTTTTCCCTTTGCCAACCTTCCTGTGTCCACTGTCGAACCACCATCCCTGCATTCATCCTCTGTTGCTTCTGACCAATTTGATGATGTTGCACACTCTCCTTTGCTGTTACCTAACCATGGTGCAGGAACCGGACGTGGAGCTCGTTTGGAGTTGTTGGAGGATTCACCATCATCACCGTCGTCTTCTGGTGGGCACGTCGATCGCCCTATGTTGCATGGCATCGATTCGCGTGCCCATGCATGGTCACCCGACGAGCCCGTCACGCCGAGCATCTCCACTGCTCGGTCTGCTACGCCAGTGATCGCCGAGTCTCCAGCGGCTCGGCCTTTTTCACCAGCGGCCGCCGAGTCGCCCGTGGCTCGGCCCGTCACGCCGTCTTCGCCCGCGGCTCGGGTCCTCACGTCGCCTTCATCAGCGGATCAGCCCGCGACACCGGCCGCGCCACGGCCCACTATGCCGAGCTCGCCATCGGCCCGGTCTGGGATGCCGGAGTCGCCAGCTGCTTCGTCTGCTCTGCCGGTTTCGCCGGTGGGCGGCCTTCTTCGCCGACTGAGTCCGAGGCTACCATGCCTGGCTCCTCGTCACCGGCTGACTCATCAACATCGCCGTCCTCCAGCCCGTTGCAGGCTGCTCCGTCGACCTCGGTGGTTCCTGTGTCTCGACCACATACACGCAGTCGCAGTGGTATTTTCAAACCTAAGGAACGTACGGATGGTACGGTTGCTTGGTTGGCTGCTTGTTTGGCTGCTGCTGTTGCGGATCCATCTTCTGAGCCTCGCTCATATCAGGCTGCCCTGCGCATTCCACATTGGTGAGAGGCTATGGAGCAGGAGTTTCATGCTCTTCTTCGTAACAAGACATGGACTCTCGTTCCTCCACCACCGCGGGTAAATGTTATTGACTCAAAATGGGTATTCAAAGTGAAGAAGCATTCGGATGGATCTATTGAGCATTACAAGGCGCGACTTGTTGCTCGCGGTTTTCGGCAGCGTCATGGTCTTGACTATGAGGACACCTTCAGTCCTGTCGTCAAGCCTACCACTATTTGGCTTCTTCTCTCCATTGCTGTTTCTCATGGTTGGTCACTTCGTCAACTTGATGTGCAGAATGCCTTTCTACATGGATTTTTGGAGGAAGAGGTTTATATGAAACAGCCGCCTGGTTTCTCTGATCCTGATCGTCCTGACTATATCTGTCGTCTTTCCAAAGCACTATATGGTTTGAAGCAAGCTCCTCATGCCTGGCATGCCCGCCTTGCCTCTGCCCTTCGTGCTCATGGGTTTGTGCCGTCCACTGCTGACACTTCATTATTTCTTCTACAGAAGCCAGAAGTCACTATGTATCTTTTGGTATATGTCGATGATATTATCCTTGTCAGCTCTTCTCAGTATGCTGCTGATGCTCTTGTCTGCTCTCTTGGTGCTGATTTTGCGGTCAAAGATCTTGGGAAGCTTCACTACGTTCTTGGAGTTGAGGTCACTTCTCGTGCTACTGGTCTTGTCCTTACGCAGAAGAAGTACTCCTTGGAGTTGTTACAAAAAGCCGGCATGCTGAAGTGCAAACCGACCACCACACCCATGTCATCTACCGACAAGATAACAGCTGTTGATGGTGAGCTTTTGTCTCCTGCGGATGCCACAGAGTACAGAAGCATTGTTGGTGGACTTCAGTACTTGACGATCACGAGACCAGATATCTCTTATGCTGTTAACAGAGTTTGTCAGTATCTTCAGGCTCCCAGAGATACTCATTGGGCTGCTGTTAAACGCATTCTTCGTTATGTTCAGTTCATTCTGACTTTTGGTATGCATATTCAGCCGACTTCCTCTCGGGTCCTTTCGGCCTTCTCTGATGCAGATTGGGCTGGTAGCCCAGATGACAGGCGATCCACGGGGGGTTATGCAGTATTCTTTGGCTCTAATTTGATCGCCTGGAGTGCTCGGAAACAGGCTACTGTGTCACGTAGCAGTACTGAAGCTGAGCACAAGGCTGTGGCTAATGCTACTGCAGAGATTATTTGGGTGCAGTCTTTGCTTCAGGAGTTGGGTTTGTCTCAACCACAGCCTCCTATTCTTTGGTGTGATAACATCGGTGCTACATACCTTTCTGCAAATCCAGTATTTCATGCCCGAACGAAACACATTGAAGTGGACTATCACTTTGTACGGGAACGTGTATCACAGAAGCAACTCCAGATCAAGTTTATCTCGTCTAAGGATCAACTTGCAGACATCTTCACTAAGCCTTTACCACTGCCACAGTTTGAGGCTTGTAGGCGCAATCTTACCCTTCTCAGTTCTTTAGAAAGTGGCTAAGATTGAGGGAGGGTGTTAGACTATGTATAACTTCTGTACCTATGTACGTATTGTAACACAACCATTATATATAATGAGATAAGCCACCCCTAGAGGGTTGCGCTGGTTCCCAAAACTTATTGTCTTACAGTGCATATGAAATGAAATGTTTATGTATGCAAACGATTATATTCATGTATTAATTTTTTATACATGTTTTCTAAAAAAGCTCATGGGTTTTTCAAAAATGTTCGTATATACAAAATAAAATGTTCACCGCGTATTTAAAAATGTTCATGTATAAAAAATTTATGTTCTTCTATTAACAAAAGTTTACGTATTTTTAGAAATAGTTCTTTGAAAATTATTCATACATCTGAGGATACAACATGTGGAGAAACAACTGCCAAAGTGCCACCGCAAGCACTTGAAACCTTGCTGCAACCGAGTCACTTCAATAAGTATCTCGCATAGTTCGCTTTAGCTTTCACCGACACCCCGAAGCATCTCATGCCTGCATGCATGCACACGAATACCCACAATCAGTGAAAATGATAAGATGCATGCATAGACACAACGGGCTTAAACACGGGCGCGGCCTACGTCGACCTCTGTTTAAATAACATAGTAGTATCTGTTTACCTATGTCGACAGTGATCATGGTAATAGTATTTCTTTTGCAACAAGCACAGCGCCATTCAGCCCAGCAGCTTTTCTCAAAATTCTGTCGCAGTTTTCTCAGATTTACATATGGACTTGTATAACAGTACTTCTATTTTACAGTCAATGTGTTATGTTTAGCAGGTGTATAACAGTGGTACTATTCTTTATTTGTACTAGGAGAATGCCCGTACATTGCAACGGAATATAAATATTATAATATGTTAGCTTATGATTAACCTGCCCATATTAATGCGATCGTATAATTAAATATTTATCAAATCGTTACCGTGATTTACCCTACCCATATTAATGCGATTGTATAAATAAATATTTATCAAATCGTAACCGTGATTTACCCTATATATTTATGAGAAGTTTGGTAAGTAAATTAAAGTGGAATTTGTTCAGAAGGTAAGTAAATTAAGGAGATTGATTATCACGCGGGAAAGGTTGGACGACGGGATGGTGAGAAGAAAAGTGGAGCTGTTGAATTCCCCTCATACTCTGTTTCTCAATACCAGTTGTTGATTTGTACATAGATGCACTAATATATATGTACATTGTTTGACATGATTAGTTGTTGGAATGTTATTTTCAAGTGAGATTAGGAGCTTTGGTGTGCATTGTATCATCGCGAACCATTTAAAATTTCAAGATACGATGATCATTGCAAGTTTGGCCCGACTAACTGACCATGGACTAGATCAACAATTTCGAAGCCTATGCATGCATGATACTACCTCCATCGTGGTTTATTAGTCCCCTTAGTATTTTGTGCCAAATTTTAACCATGGCTTTACTTAGGAAAATGTTAATGCATGCCGCAAAAACGGTATCATTGGGAACTATGTTCAAATACGAATCCAACGATATAATTTTTTATGACATGCATTAACATGTTCTAAGTTAAATTTATGTTTAAATTTTGACACAAAATACAAATAGTACCAATAAACGAAGTAGTATTGTTCAATAGCAGCGTGATAATGTATATAATATTATAGGAGCATGAGTGGGGGCGAGATCCTCAGGAGAGAAGCCGCCCACTGACCCAGCTGTCGCTCCAAAACCACACCGTAGATCCATGTCCAGCCTTGATTTGATCTGCACTAAACCATGGAATACCTCTGCTCGCTTGTGCTGTTGCTCTCATATATTTGTACTACGAAGAAGGGCAAATACTTGTGCTAAGAAAATAACTCAAAACCTATTTGGCAATGCATTAACTGAATACATAAATATGCGTACAAAGGAATGTCTGAAAACTCGTACACTGTGCACATCAGGTTTGCATGGTTATTACAAGAAAGCCAACAGCAAGAAAATACTGAAACAATAAATAAAACATGTAAAATAGCAAAGGGGCGAGCGAGCTCTAGAGAAAGATTGATCGACAAATTGCAGCCTGCTCTTGCTGCTAAAAGATGCGAACAGAAGGACGGTTTGGGTGCGCTTGCAAGGAGTCCCTGAACGCAGACTCGGCACGACGCTTCACTTCATTCACGTCACTGCTGTAGACGAATGATACCACAATTTGCTGGAGAGCTAACAGGTCCTCCATGCCGACTGGGGTAGTGCCGCCCCAGTGCACCTCCCATGAATGCAGCTCGAGCCTTTGTAGCTTGGGCATTGCCCCGACCTCAAAGTGCAGGTGTGCCATAACATCGTCTTCCGCAGAGTTTAACTGATAATCTGGTTCCTCATATAATTTTGACTCAAAGTACTCCAGAGCTGGAAATAATCCTGTAAGGATTATGATAACTCCATTTGCAGCGAAATTCAACAAAGTGAAATCGAGCTCCACTAGGGAGCGCAGCTCTCCAAGAAGACGAATGTCATCTGTCGATGTCTCCCTAACAGCCAGCTCCAGACGACGGAGATAATGGAGATCACCAATCCACCTTGGAATTCTGAAGGTCACGATATCGCACATTCGAAGTGTCTCGATATAGAGGGGTGCATTAGATAATGATAACAGACTGTCACTGTCAACAAACTCCGGCACACGAAACCTGAGATGTCTCAGGTTACGAAGCTTTTCAATGGAGGAGACCAGATCATCATCAATTATTTCATTTTTAATGAAGATACAGAGCTCCCGCAAATTGGATAGCTTGCCTAGGCCTTCGATATCCTCCCACGAGCAATGTGTCAACTCAAACCCTTTCAGAGTTCGCAATAATTTCAAGTTCTCGATCCCTTCAGGCAGCCTGTGACCCCAAGCAGTCAGATGGAATAAACGGGGCAACTGAACTACATCTGATGGAATCGAACCACCATCCAGTTCCAGTGTCTCCAAATGCACTAGCCTTTTCAATTCAGACGGAAGCTTTATGTCTCGTGCTGTAACCTTCAAATACCGCAGATGAAACAATCGGTTGATATCACTGAGATCGACTGTGATCCTACTGTTTTCAACGAACAGCACCTGGAGATATCTAGGTAACAAACACTTGGACTCTCCGAATGATACAATCGATCTAACCTTTGACAGACTAGCAGCAGTGGTCCTTGATATTGCACCATCTGTTGCATAATTAGAACTCGAGCTCAGGAACAAACGGCGAACCTTGAGCTTGGATTTATGCAGTCTTTCCATGTCTTCAAAACTATATACCACACTCATGAAATTTTCTTCTTCACATTTGCTGATAATAACATCACGAATCATATCATGCACTCTGCAAGAAAGCACATCCCCAGCAACTGTCCAATGAGGCTGAATCAAGCTTCTATTGATAAGCTCATTGAAATAACTCCTTCCAACATCCTCCAAATCTTGCCCAGGTAAACCACGCACAAGGCTTTCGGCTATCCATTGTCGAACGAGATCATCCCTCATGATCTCGTGGTCCTCTGGATGCATACCAAGATGTAAGGAACATACCCGAAGATGAGCAGGAAGATGCATGTAACTAAGGTTTAATATACGCCTCATTCCTTCCATGCTGAGGTCTGTGGCAGATTGAACTCCCAAGTAACTCCTTATGCTCTCCCAATCCTGCCTTAATATTCCTGGACGACTAGCTAATATGCCGGCTATTGTAATAACAGCGAGTGGCAGTCCACCGCACTTCTTCAAAATTTGAGTTGAAATTTCTTCATATTGGGATGCATCGGCATACTGAGGCGCAAACACTCTACTAAAGAATAACCTTTTTGAGTCTTGGTCGTTGAGAGGCTTCATTTTGTAAATGCACTGCTGGCGATTGTGACATGCCTGTCGAGCCACATCTTCCACTCGTGTAGTTACTATTATTCTACTCCCATTGCCACTATCTGGAAAAGCACAACTAATGATATCCCATCTTCGTCGATCCCACAAGTCATCGACTACAATAAAGTACCTGTCATGGTTTGAATAGGTTAGTATGTACTTATAGATTGTACATGAAACCATTGAATGCCTTCAAAGAGGATGAACAAAAACAATACAAAAAACTTGATTATAGTAAATCTGCCATTTCTTAGACTAAATCAGGAGATTCATATGGCATACAACCCTAAGTAATACTAAAATTACATTCACGTGTTAAAAGTTAAAACTCAATTACAATGCATTGCATTTAATTTAGATCTGAACTATTACGTTACAAAATCATTTCACCCTCTGCCAAAATACATAGAAGATGTATTTTAAACAACGTTTGGGATATCGCTTCTCATTAACTTATCGGTCGACCCAAGATAAGAGATAAATCAGCTTATCAGCCAATTTTTCACTTTTATCGGTTAACTATTTATCGGCAAGGATTTAAAAAATCTCATGTTTTCGTATCATCAGGACCAATCAACATCACAAACGCGTAAACCATGTCATCTGTATTCCTCTTAAACGACCTGGGATGTACTGGAAATAGCCATCTTTTTTAGCCACATACACAAACTATAGGCATCAAGACTACAAAAACTCAACCAAAATAAAAAATTGGGAGCTAAATCAATTGGGTCCCACATATTTATTAATAACCGATATATCGGTCGGACCGGTAAATACCAGTGGTATTCACTAATCCTATTGGTCTGACCCAGATAAGATAAATCCGCCGATTTATCGGCTTACCGGCCGATATTTTGAATTAAAAAAGTGCAAGTTCAAATTTTGACGCAAGCATCTTGTGACATACTTTATTTCCTTAGTTACAAAATCAACATCATAAGGGTGTCCATTGAAATGCATACCATTAATATCAAATGTGTGCAAGACAACCAGCACATTATTGGATTAAATAATTTGTTGGTGAACCAATAGGAAAACAAAGAAAAATTCATCCGATATTTTTGAATCCCTACATTTTAATTAGTTTAAAGGTTAACACAAAATTCATGCATATTATTGTATTTCTATGTACTGTGTTTCCAACCGAATACCTAGACTTTTTTCATCTTATTCAAAAGAGTACGACGATGGCCATACACTCTCCATCTCCTTCAGGAGCGACATGACAAACAAAGGTCAAGCCATCCTGATCTAACGGTATCACCCCTACTGGCACTGCAAGTATGTGCCGCCGGCAGGGCCTGCCTGCCTCCATTCTGACTCCAAATGTCATGCCAGTGCTCCAGGGGCAAGGGTTACTTTCTAGGCGAATGTGGAGGCTTATGGACTATGGAAGCAATAAGGATGGATAAAAGATAAGAAATGACGTACAACCAAACGGGTTATAAGATTGAAACAAAAAGGTTACGTAGACTAAAATGCGCAAGGGTACCCATATAAAATAGATTATAATGAGGCAGAGTGTCTCTAACACACAAAATGGACTATATCACCCATTTATCTAAAGTGGCATGTTTCTATATCCACCATCAATTCTTTTATGAGGTACATGGAAACAAGGTAACTTATCTTTGTCCTACAACTTTGGTCTTAATTATCCTTTTTATGAGCTCAATTTTTTCTTGGACAAAAGCTAAAATATGATTTGTCCTATGCTCAAAAGAAGCCTCTTTAACTACTGCTTAAAAAAAATGTTAAATCATGCCACAATCTCCTCTCTAAAGTGTCAGTCAAAAGATGAGCATCAATTGAATCTCAGAGTTAGATCATCCACTAGCTATACCATGCAATTCCATGAGTGACTATTTGAAATAAATAAGTACCTCTTGTCTCTGAGATACTCTTGAAGCTCACTGACGATATCTTGCACCTCGTGAGTGCCACAAGTGTTTCCCCCAAGCTTAGATTGTAGCCCAATCAAGAGCACTGCCATGTCGGGTCTTTGGGAAACCGACACAAATGCCTTACAGTTGAATTGTTCGCCGATCTTATCATACACCTGTTTGGCAAGTGTAGTTTTACCAAGACCTCCGAATCCCACAACCGACACCACCTTGAGTTTTTCCTCTCTATCTGCTAGCCAACTGACAAGCTCTTCCCTTGGACCATCAATACCCACAAGGGAGGCCGCCTTTCTGTAGAGTGCCGACACCCGAGGATCGACGAGCACAAGGGTAGAGCTAGAGCTACTGCTATCATCAAGCTTGTACCTTTTGCGTCGATGATTCGCCTTTATGGCACGATCCTTGAGCTCCTGAATCTGGCTTGTAAACTGGTGACGCGCCCACAGGGTCTTGACAAGTTGAGTGGTCCGCTCGATAAAACCAGCGTTTTCACTGGCACTTCCAAGATTGAGAAGGAAGTCATCGAGGCAATCTTCCATGTCGTAGGCCATGTCCCTGACATGGTCCCGCCAGTCCTTGGTCAAGGGATCTAGTTCATCCCTCAGCCCCAGCTCCTCCAGGAAGGCTTTCATGGTGCTGAGCTCCTCCTCGAGGAACCGCACATGATGCTCCACCCCTTCGAGCTTCTGGCACTCGTCGCCCAGAAGGTCGGTGAGCTTGGCGAGGAGGTTGTTGACGATTTCTGACATCTTGATCTTGATCTCTCGTTTCTCGCTTGTGTGCTGCGAGTAAGCGCGGCGGCGCTGGCGCACAGGGACCGACGGATCTGTGGCCGGAGGAGGATTGGGGATTGGGCGGTGGTGCGGCTGGACAGGAGAGTGGGGATTGAGGAGAGGAGATCTGAAAATCTGATGGCGATTTGGTTTGGGGCCTCCGAGAGGGAAGATGAAGGAGAGCGGAGGGTGGAGTCAAGGTCAACGCGCGCTTCTGCGCCTGGGAGAGGGGAAATGGGAAGGAAACTCACGTTGCTTTGCTACTAGTCGTTGCTTCTGCGCCTGGGAGAGGGGAAATGAGTACTAGTAATTGTGAGTGTTTTTTCTTTTGTAGTCTAGCTAGTTGTTAGTTTATGCACTCGTGACCGTGAGACGCTTTGTTAAGTAGCTCAGCTAGGCCGATCCGTTGTGTGCTTTTTTGAAATTAACCTTCTTTTTCACCATCCCTTTCAGGGCATCTCCAACAACGACCCATAAGTTTCCTCCCGCATCTGTCTATGGACAAAGAGAATCAGTCCGCGCACACGGATGCGGGAGGCAGCCATCCAACGCTAGCCACATACATTTCAAACATCCTTTCAACAAACCGGATGAAATTCATGCAAACTCTAGCGGATTTCATATAAATCAGACGAGAACGGTTATATTTAGAGATATTTTAACTAAAAAGTTAAAACTATGTGCACGTACGGTCGCGCGGAGCTCCACTCCCATGATACGGCTGGCCGAGGCAGATCCCTTCGTCTTCCCCATGTTCGGCAGCCCGCTAACCGGACTGCCTGGAGTTCCAGAGGAATATTCTTTCCTCGTATCTTCCCTATGTCCGGCCGTGCTGCTCATCAGAGTGGCGAAGAGGGTGCTTCAGCTAGAGGGGAAGGGTGCTTCCGTGGATGCCCAGGATGGTCTAAGATAAAGAAGAAACCGGGCGGGTCACCGGCTGTACAGGTCGGGGACGCGTCGGCGGTGGCCCTCACCGGCTGTACAAGTCGGGGATGCGTCGGCGGTGGCCCTCCTGGGACCCAAGCAGCGACGGCCTCCTGTGTTCTACTTTTCCTCAGTGTTGTCAGTGGACACAAACGCGTTGGCCATCGACTCGTCGATCTCTGCGCACCCAACTTCTTTTTCTGCCTGCATGGCGCGGCTACGCGGGTGTCGATGATGAATGATGCGGTTGCAAGCACTGGAGGCGCGGTATGACGCGGCGGCGTCGATGCCCGTGCCGCCATGCTCCTCGCCATACTGGCCTGGAGCAACTCGCCGCTCCTCCGCGAGCTAGCTTGGAGCGCCGAGTTGCTGAACCACGTGCTGGCTTGGGGCGGCAACTGGCTCCGTCAGGCTACGCGAGGGAGGTGGAGCAGCGAGCCGTGTCTGCCGGGCTCGATGGGCCACCCAGCCTGCTTATATGCCGGAGAACTTCTCTTCCTGCTCGTCAGATGCCATCAAAACAGTGTAGAAATTAGTAGAAGAAGGAGATGTGGAGTGGCGGAGTGGTGCGACCTTGCCTGACGTCTAGCCTCATTTAAATACAATGCAGACGGGAGGAGCTCGGTCAGCGTTGCGTTTAATGCCACCCCGCTCCTGAACGGGCGTGTGGCCGGAGTAGATTTGCAGCGGGCGGCGCCCTCGGCCGGCGCGCTACTTCAATGGCGGAGGCAGTGAGAGGACGCGTCCGCCTTGAGCCGCCTTTAATGTGGAGCGTCGCGCTCTATAGTAGCATGAATGTGTGCAGCTGGCGTCGAACGGGAACACGCGTGGGCAAGGGAGGGGGTTTCGGTGGGCCATGACGGTCAGAAGCAGGCGTGACAGCCGGACTCCGGCAATCCTCCCCACGTTTATCTCCGGCTTGCTGGAGAAATCACATCCGATCCGCTCCGCGGACCGATACATAACCGTCTTGGATGGCTTTCTCGGTCTGGACAGCACGGTCCAAACGGTTACGGAAGATTTAAGGGTCACCGTTGGAGATGCCTTTAAAACCCTTTTGGTCATTTCCAAGTGGCCGTGAAACTGAAAAATAACTGACAGAGAATAACTCGCAACTCCTGGGAAATTATTCGCTTCCCCGCATCGCTTAACAAGTGACCCGGGCGTCAACGTCCTCTTTCTACCTGCTCCTCCCCCTTCTTGTCATCGGTGGCCACTGTGGTGGCGTCAGGGTGGGTCTTCTTCATTCGCATGACGCTCTGGTTTGTGGTTGCTGACAAATCTTGGCTTTGGGACATTACTAGGAAACTGCTTATAAAAGGTCAAATCAGTGGGTAAGCTGAGTGACCAGTCACTGATAATCTAACCAAATGTCAGTGACGGGTTCAAAACGTGTCCCGGAATTACGTTATCAGCTACTTCCTCCATCCAAAAATACTTGTCGAAGAAATGCATAAAAATAAATATATGTAGAACTAAAATACATCTAGATACATCCATTCACCCACGAGTATTTCCGGACTGAGGAAGTACCAGTCATTGGCAGTCTGCGCCCAGATTAGCCATGGGCTAAAATTACTAGCAGCGGGTGATCAAGCATGCCGCCACTGGTTGTTAGAGAAACAGCGGTGAGCTGACTGTCTGCTAATATGACTATTATGGCCCAGCATAGCCCACGGCGGTCTTCTAGTATGGCCCGTATTTTGGTTCTGTGTATCGTTTTTTAGATTTTAATGTTTCATTTTTATGGTACAGTATGAAAAATTGTTTAAACTTTGTACGTTTTATTATCTTGTATATTTTAGGCATTTTATTAATGAAATGTGTTTGTTGCGGTATGCTGACTTGTCACTTTATAGTTAAATATACACATGAATTATACATTACATTTTTGTCATATTTCAACTAAATCAAAGCGTGTGACATATATTTTATAAATCTTCGTCGGCGTCCGTGAGTCCTAGAAAGCTTCCGACCTCCATGCCCCTGTTGTTCCCTTCCTCTGTGTCCATGTCCGATGGCCGTGAGCCTCGAGGACTGAATCTGTGGCAGCCGGCGAGGAACAATAGACATAGGACATGGACAGGCCCAAATGAGATGCGAGGCTCTGCCATCTCCCATGCCCTACTCCTTATTGGAGTCCACACGCTGGTCGTCGCAGGTAGATGTGAGGTCCACGATGTACGTGGACGGACCGATCCCATGGTCGAAGCGGCACCAATGGGGGTCAGTTGGTGGTGCATCCGAGACCACCGCGCGAGCATTACGCGCGGCCTCGCAGAGCACCTCCTGCTCTTGTGGACGTAGTTTGGGTTCTCCGCCGCCATGGCCACCACGGCCTCCTCGCGCACAAACTCGCCGTAGATCTGGCCGTCCGCCAGCCGGTGCGTGTCTAGGAGACGGAGGTTGACGTGCTGCTCCTCCTGCGCTAGCCGAATGCAGACACCATGATTACATTGGTGCTCAAAGTATCTCTGATTTGCAGAAAGTGATAATGTGTATGAATCCTTTAAATTAAACTACCCATGTAGTTCACATTCTTTTGAAGTAAAAGAATGTGGTGGTAATGCACCACCACCTAGTCATGTTATGACACTGAACAAAAAAGGTAGAAATTGAAAAAAAAATTGGATAAATAATTTTGCAACAAGCTGAATCAGATACTTAGTCCTGACTTTCAATGACAAATCTTTCAGATCCAACCATCGTGTGCATATTACACTCGAAATCCGGACATCGTCATTGTTAACCTGACTTGAAAATACTATTAGTATTTGCAGAAAGGTTAATTCCGGAAATTATAAAAAAAGTGAATAGATCAGGAAACAACTAGATTAGATTACTCTCCGTCCTTGGGACTCTTGAATAAGATCCCATTCATCATCCTCAAGAATAATTAATATATTGGCCCATACTTCAACCTTGTCGGTGTCATTTGCATCAACAATAAATAGATACACACCCTCTATGAAAGACTCAATGAATAATTATTGAAGTTGAGAGCAAGTGAGTAATATTTTGGGCCCAGAGCGAAGTTAATACAATTTGTTTTACTAAAAGATTAACCAGCCAAGTTCTATACGGAGCGGCCAGCATCCTGAGCAAGACATCGATACACCGTAACCTTTTAGTCCCACATACTGCTCATTTGCATTGCATTGCATAATGAGAGATCTGAAATAAATGAATGTCCATTCCCCATATGAAAATCACTTTTTTTGCTACTTTGTAGTGCTCTCAGCATTCCATTATTTGTGCTGGAATCAACTGTTGAATGAGTGTGTTTGGCCATACATGGAGTCTTGTCTTCTGGCATTAACGTTTGTAACGAATAGGGGGGAAATGGTTATCTTACAGGTAGGTGGCTGGCCTCATTCGCACAAGTATGAACAATATATACTTGTGTTGGAATCAAGTGTTGAATGAGTGCGTTTGGGGTTTGGCCATACATGGTGTGTCTTGTCTTGTCTTCTGGCATTAGCATTTGTAATGAATAGGGGGGATGGTTATCTTATAGGTGGCCGGCTGGCCCCATTGGCACATGTATGAACAATATATAATTGTATTGGAATCAAGTGTTGAATGCGTGTATTTGGTCATACATGGAGTCCTGTCTTCTGGCATTATTAGCGTTTGTAATGACAAGGGGAAATGGTTATCTTACAGGTACCGACTGGCCTCATTCACGCAAGTATGAACAATATTACTCACGCCGTCCCTTTCTCAGTATTTTTTATCAAGTTTTTTTAGTCTATTTTTTATTAAGTTGGTAAGCTGTAAGCATCACATTGCACTTTGGTAGTATACCGGCATTGAGAAATATTAGGGTCTGCATTGAACAGGAAAAATGGTCATCTTATAGTAGGTAGCCAACTGCCTAACTTGCCTCATTAGCACAAGTACAAACAATATAGTTATATTATTCATGTCGTCTCTTTCTTAGTATTGTTTGTTAAGTTGGTTCGCATTATTGCTGCACACTAATCATTTCCCCCTTACGCGGACAGTGATGCTATACGGCAGCACTTGTATCTACATAGTAATACTCACTA